CCAAGATGCAACCTTCATATTGAATCTTTGGCATTTTATATCAAACGATCAATCAAACGGTGAATAGATTACAGAAATAGTTAGTAGCCTTTGATTTTCCACTGATCGATGAATCAATCTATCTTGCGTTTTGCAGCGTGAGGGCCAAACACAATCAATACTCTGACACAGGGCAGGTCTGTGTTTAATAAGGAACTCATCCAACCTCTATCATACAAATGATAAAGCAATTAACGGGTGATTTGTAGATGAAGCTGGTGGTTTCCATTTTTGATTTGCATGTAGCAGCAAAGCATCTCCAGCCTGTCATTACATCACTGCTTGCTGGGGAAGGGGGCTGGCATACAGATTTCCAACTCAGCCAGTGTGCAACATATCTGTGCTCACAGTGACAGGATGCGTTGATATTGATCCGTGAGGGGCAGAGACACGCTGTGCACCAAGTAAAATGTTTGGCTGGAAGTAAAAACCTGTCATCTGTGCATCAGGAAGAGGCCTGGCCCGGTGTGAAATAATAATGCTGTGGCCTGTTGGTCGGATTGGATCAAGAGGAGGGGGGCGACGCGAGAGAGGAGAGCAATATTAAAACATGAAACCAGGGAGGATTTTTGAAATGTTGTTTTCTTTCCTCTTCTAAATCAGCTGTTTCTCTATTTGGAGGATCGTGCTTTTCTTTAATTATTATTTTTTTCTAGCTTTACGTGCTCCATCATTCATCAGTGCACTTGCTACACAGGAACCCTCTCCTCACCCCACCCATCTCACGGAGAGCTACGATGGAAGCTAACGGGGATCCCATTCATGTGGCACAATAATACTCCCCGGGCGCACGATCACCGGACGCGCGGCTCCACGGTGGTGCAGGTACAAAAAAAGAAAAGATGCAAAGGAGGAGGAAGAAGAAGGAAGAAGAAGAAGAAGAAGAGGAGGGAAGAGAGAGAGAGGGAAAAAAAAAAAACAGCACTCCAGCCATCATCACTACCCAGCGCACATCCCCAGCCCCGCTCGTCTCCGGCGCTGCGGCTGCATCCATCGCTCCGTTTGGACACATACCTGAAAATTACATGTCCGTCCAGGCGACGAGCTCGGGCGGGTCGGACGGTGTCGCGGTCTGCGACGGCGATCCGACGTTTCCTGGTGGTGGATTCTTTTTTTTTTTTTTCCCTACTCGTCTTGTGAGCCGACTGATGCTCTAGTTTCGCCCAGTATCTACCCAGTGCTAATCCACCCCACACAAAGAGCAGAAAATGGCTGCAAGTGCATTTTCTTAAAGGGACAGTCGCAGTGTGGAGACGCGAGATGATGATGATGATGATGATGATGAGGGCCTCCGACATGTTGATTCTGTGCATTCATGGTTTTATTTAATCTTTTAAAGAGAGGCTTGTTTTTTACTCGTGGTGGAGTTTGTTGGTAGTTTATTGTGTGAACGTTAAATGCAGGATGTGTGGTGACGATGTGATGAACTGTGATCCTCTGAAAGGAGGAAACACAACCTGAATAGACTCTTTATATATTTATATATATG